CCCCAAAACCCCAAAACCCCAAAACCCCAAAACCCCTTTAAAAACAGCAAAATAAGCTTTGTTAATTTTATTACTAATTTATAATTTTTCTGTTAAAATGAGCCAGAGTGAGATACTCCTACCTCAAAATTTGCATTCTGTGAAGCAAGAACTTGAAATGTCTCAACCTGGAGGCCCTAAAACCATGCAGGAAAAAGATGAAAATATTCAATCTATTGAGAAAATGCACCTAGAGAAGTTATGCCATGACACAAAAGAGAATATTGATTTGGTGAAGGAACTTATTTTAGGAGATTTAGACGAGAAGAGGAATCCGGTACCTAACTCTGATAAGGAAGAAGAAAATAATCAATATCTAAATTGTGATGAAAACTCTCAAAGTGAAGCTAAAGTGCAGCCTGGCTTGGGAAATCGGAATTCCTCCAATGAAGAAGATTTCTTAAATCATGAAAGCCAAGAAACTCCAATGAAAAAAATCTGACGGTGATCCTCAAAATATTTCTAATGAGAATTCACATGTTGCTAAAGATGTTGTAAACAAAGAGGAAACTACTGAAGATGAGGCTAAAGCTGGCCAGCTGCCAGAAGATATCCAACAGAAGAGTCTTTTACAAAACTTTGAGGAGCAAGAATCTGATATGTTGAACCAAGATTTAGCTGAGACTTTACAACTAGACAAGCAAGAAGTACTCGAAGATGATGCAAATTTCAACTCGGATAAATCAATAGGAAAATTTTCTAAGATAGTAAATAAGCTAGAGTTATCAACAAATTCTCTTTCATATGAAAGATTTTTCCCAGGAAGGGTCCTCGGTAATACTTTTGTAGCTAAGAACAACTCAAGTGAGCTAATCAAATTAGCCATTTCGTTTGATAATTCCAAAATTAACAATCATTATGTGGCTGACAAACTTTGTGAACACTACTCTTGCGACTCAGTCAATGAAATGGAGGATCCATATAGTAAGCATATGCTGCAGGAAGTAGACACAACAAAAGAAGTGCTAGATGTATGGCATTTAGAAGATCCTTACACGAAGAAACTGTCTCAATTTGTTGAATTCGAGCTAGAGCCCAATTCTGAACAGGAGTTTATCATTGTGCTGAAGTCTCCTGCAAATAATCAACAAATAATGTATGCTGCTGATGTGGTCCTTCATCAGATTGAGAATGGGTTTAAAGATTCAGTATTTTGATTTGGATTTCTGGAACAACTAAAAATATCAATTCCAAAAGAGATGTATAACACAAAACTCAATGCTAGAATAGTCAAAATTGTACTGCAACGTAAACAAAAGGCTCAGTCAATTAAACTGCTATTAGAGAACAAAGGAGATATGTCAGTGATTACAAATTTCCAAAGTATAGAGCTTGAAGAGAACCTTCAGTTCTGTCTCCCAAAAAATAAGCTGTCTCTTGAGCCAAAATCCAAAGCTCTCCTTGAGATTAAAGCTTTGTACAAACCTATTAACCAGCCTCGACAACAAAATGCCAAACCTGAAGTGATTCATAAACTAGTTGTTTCTAAGGTCAAAGACTGTGAGCTGAAGTTCAGCATCGTATTCGAGATAACCATACTCTAACTCTCTATCTGAGTCTGGCAGCCTGGGTTTTATCCCAAACCTTGAAGTCATTTTCTTCTACTAAAATCCAGATATTTTCAACTAAATTAACCTTAAAAGGGGTTTTGGGGTTTTGGGGTTTTGGGG